ACTTGAAGAGTCGACCAAGGAATAAAGGTTGGTTGGTGCAACTAGGAGCGCACATAGACACAGCTCCGGCGGGCACGGAAATCCTTGTCCATGAATAGGTTCCTGTTTCCATGCACAGGCTTACAAAAGGTGCCGTGTATCCTTGCCCCAGGTAAAAAGGTTTGTCTCTCTCTCTCAAGAATTGTAGTTACTTACCCACAACGTCATTCAGGATACGCCGGAGAGATAAAATGTAGTATATGTGGAGGAGGTACAAAGCTTCCATGCAACCCATGTTCTTGGTGTAAAAGACATCATTCTCTGTCTTCTAATGTACTGATGGTGTTGTGGAGTGACTTGGAGATTTACTAGAAGAGTACTGGTTGTCACTGAGAGTCCGAAACAATCTAGTAGCTGACATTTAATCTCACTTTCGAGAGTGTACCTCCATTGGTAAAAGCTTAATGAGTTGGGCACTCAACATGCTGTAGCATTCATGTGATCCTTTCGCTGGTCAGCTCCGACCAGTCAATATCTTATCCCCCTTTCGCTGAACCTCCTACATTTCTTGATGAACGCTAGACTGCGACATATCTTGTCTTCCTACAGCCGAGAATGATCGCCAGTCATTTGGATTTTTGTAAAGCTTTGTACTGTTGCAATCACATGACATTTCCTCTCCCAACAGGACTCATTTCTGTCGAACTAAATGCCTTGGAACAACACAAGTTCGAGTTGGTTCCATGGGTTTTACTGATCTACCATAATGTTTTATGCATCACATATATAAGTTTTGATAATGAATATAAATTTTAACACGCATACAAAGGAAAAAATCAGTGTGATTTCCACAACGGCTGCTACAATAGTAACTTAAACTGGTTCTTTGACAGACTTGTAGTTCAGTCATTAAGCTCAGTGACTTCCTTCTGATGTGCTTCTTTTATCACGGAAAGAGTACGTGGTCCTCACCAAAAAGAAGTTCCAAATTTTTCTGAGCTGTTTTTAGGGAAGAGAAGTCATCAAGGATGCACTATCGAGTCTCTTTTCCTTTCATGTGAAAGGCTTTCCATGGCCTGATTCCATGCAAAGAAAAAGATGACGAAGAAATCACGTACGTTCATGCATGCATGGCGATGAAAAATATGGGACGGTAAAAAGTTAGGGGTGGAGACCCTTTGATGTCCGAGAGAAGTACCTGCACTCAGTCTTTTTTGGTGTTCAGTCCTGTTTGAGTGTGACAGCACCTTAATTGTATTCTACCTTATATTACTTGTTTTACTTGTAGATAAAAGGGAGATTTATCCATAAAATATTTATATTTTAGATAAATTTTCAATTGATATTTTTTTATTTTATTTTATTTTAAATAGTACCTCTAATTTAAAAAAAAATCTAAACCATCGTTAAAATTTTTTTCACTTGTTACAATGTTTTAGTCTAATGTTCTAACTACCATAACAAAAATACTATGAAACATACTTACAAATATTATAAATAAGTCAAATGAAATCAAAACATACTAAAAACTATTTGATATATCATACTACGATTCAAATAGTTATTCATAATAGTTTAGAAAAAACATAACCTAAAAAAATAAAAAATGTAACTTATTACGATGTTTTAGCCACCACAATAAAAATACTATAATCTCTACTCGAAGATATTATAAATGAACTAAATTGACTCTTAACCTTAATCAAACCAACTATAAACCTAAAAATATAATACCTTAATGGTCTACGATGAATGACTAGCAAAGAGACATAATATAATATCATTTATAGTGTTCTTCAATGGCATTTACATTATTTTCAATACCTTAATAAACAATATAAATATTATTTAAAATACTATAATGAGTCAAATAAAAATATTATAATAATTTAAAACTGATAAAAATGGATAAAAAATTTGATGAAAAAAATAGGGATATTTTGGTTTTTTTTTTTAATTATGGGTACTATTTAAGAAAAAATAAAAGAGGTGGTAGCTTTTGAGAAATACCCAAAATATGGCTATTTTCTAGGGAAATAGCCCTAGATAAATATATTTTTAAAAAATACAAGATAAAAAATAACATGAAGAGAAATAGTAAAAACAATAGTCATGGTTTTGGGGTTACATTTCTTTCCTTTAGATCTAGAAATTTTACTATACCCAATAACATACTTTCTTCTCAAATTCTCAGAGAATTGAGCTTCCATGAAGAGTTCTATGCTCTTCCATTTCTATGAAGAGTTTAGCTTTCTCATGTTTAGAAGATGTAAGTAAAGATTTTTTGAGTAAAAAAATTAAAATTATATCACATTGGATATTTATCTCCTAATTGTTGAATCTCGGATTTTGATGATGAAATCAATTGGTAAATTATTTGATCTAATTATTATATTGAGAAAAGTATATAGGATTAACTACGATAGTGGTAAGACATAAAGCAAATATTGTGCCGGAGTCAAAACCAAGATTTCATTGGAAGTTCGAGAGTTCATCGGAAGTTCCGCGGTAATTAACCGAGAAGTCCAGGAGTTTGTCAAAGAAGCTCATCGGAACTTGACGAGAAGATCGTCATGGTCCAGGAGCTTACCGAGAGATTGTCGGAAGATCGTCGGAAGATCGTCGGAAGAACAATTGACGTACCTGAACAAGAATACCTTGTCAAATATCTTAATTATTGTAGTTAGATCTTAGGTTCAGTTAGGATTGAGAGGTAATCCTACTAACTCAGTTTGGGACCAATTGGGCCCTTAATAGGGTTGAAGTGGGTCGGTTGAACAACCCATTCAGCACCTGAAATCACGGTCAACTGTGGCATCGCTTGAGTCTCAATCTCCCAGGTGCTCTAGTCGATGGTACCACTTAGACTAGGCGGTAATACCGTCAGTAATTATTACCTGTCAAGCGATGGTACTATCAGATTAGGCGATGGTACCACCTAGTGTCAGAAAGTTAGGCGATGGTACCTCCAATACCTCAAAATCCGAGGAAGTGATACTTTTTGGCTCCAATTTTGAAGCCATTAGGGCCTATAAATACCCCACCATTTTCTGCATAAAAGGGTAACAAAGTGTAATCAAAAGTATGGAAAAATCTTTAAGTGTTGGGGTGTTAAAAGTATTGTAAAAGTGAGAAGAGTCCTCCTCCTCCCTCTCTTAGCTCTGTAATCATCTAAGAAAGAAGAGTAAGATTTGTAATGGTTATCTCCTAAACCCATGAAAAGGAAAAAATGCTGTAAAGAGATGGTTGGTCTTCGCCTATTGAAGGAGGACCATTAATAGATACCAATGACCTCAACGGAGAAGGAATCATAAGTGGATATAGGTCACAACGATCGAACCATTATAAATTCCAATATGTACTTTCCTTACTGTAGCTTCTCTTTACTACATTGCAAACTATCCCATCTTCTCTTCTCTACTAACTCAAAGTAAAACAAATGATTTGAGTCGAAACCGATTTTTATCGAAAATAAAATATTTTTTTAAAATTGATATAATTTTTTGCTGCACTAATTCATCCGTTGTGAGATCCTAACACTATTATATGTCACTAGATTCTTGCTGCTCAGATCGTAACACTATTATATGTTACTGGATTCTTATAGTGTTAAGTAATATAAGACGTTTGTTAGTTCTCTTTTAAGTTTTATGGCTCATGAATATTTTCCTAATATTTCCTATAAGACCACATTCATTTATGACTCAATCATCCTCATCTTATCCATAAGGATAAACTAAACTATAATTTACTTTTTATGATTTTATGATTTTTTTTTTTGGTGAACCTTAGCTATAATAAGACATTGAACTTTTTAAATCAGATGAATTTGAGTCAAATTGGTAAGAGATAACACATATGAGATTGGATATGACAGCAACCCAAAAGGTTAAATTGTGGGCCATCTAATTCTTTCATAACTTAAGGTTATGTTTATGAATTTTATCCTATTTTATATTTATATATGCCTTCTGCAAAAGCAGATTACCTTCATGCAAAAATAAACATTAATTTATAAGAAATACAAAAAATTCAGATCTTATAAAAATAAATAATTTTTGAACAGTTCATTCCTTATTAGTTCCTCATTTAAAATTCAATGGTATCACCTTACATTGTCAATGCTTGTAGTAAAATTATATGGATTCCATGAAGAAAACTAATGAATAATGAAAAAAATAAAAAAAAATATTTTTTTAAAAAATATTTATATTTTAGGTATTTCTCTAATAATATCTTAATTCAAAAACTCTCAGACTACCCTCCTTTCTCGCCGTTGCCTCCTGGATGGTAACCCATCCTTCTCCCTCCTCTCATTTTTCTCCATCAATTGTCCTCTCCTCTCTTTGCTGCTTGCCCTCTCTTCCTCCTTTCTTATTGCTTGCCTCTTTTCTTCTCTTATTTTTTGTAGTATCATTTATTTCCTCCCTCTTTCTTTTTCTCTATATTGACAACGAAATCTTATGGTGGGAGTAAAGGATGATAAGAGTGACGACGATAATGAATGATGGATAATTCAAGTTTTTTCTTGAATTAAGGTACTATGTGGAAAAGATCGTGATATTATTAGGAAATAATTTTTTTAAAATATTCAAAAGAAATAAAAAAAAATTAATTTTTTTAAAAATTCTAAAGATATATAATTATGAAATCTTATTCCTACCTATAAAAATTTTATTAATATTTTCACTTCAAAATTGAACATATGTTATTACCCCTGTCACGATCATAAAGAGGTTCGGAGGTTTGATTCATTAGAGGTTTGGAGTGGCGGGTCAACCTCAATTCAGACCCGTTTATAGTCCATTACAATCAAGTATATTATAGCAATAAAGCATCTTGCGTTTGGACTCGATTGCTAGGCTATATATCTGTAATGGGTCGGATTCTAGGCCAGAGATCGAATCGTTACAAGGTTAACGTTAGATCCGAATCTACCAATCCGACCCGAAACTAGCGGGAGGTGAACCTATTCGTTAAGGACCCTTCACCGGGTCGATCGTGTTGGGATCATATACAAAAGGAGGCGGTGTTCTGTGTGTGCGTGCTTGGAAGACGAAATCGAGGGGGAGAGAGAGAGAGGGCGAAGAGCCATGATCGGCGTAGGAAAGATCAAGCAGTACGCCAACGTGCTCGAAAAGCCTCTCAGCAGAGGCCGGCAGGAGGTTAGATTCGCTTCTCGACCCCTGATCTTTTTTGCCCTCATTTCGTCTTTGATTGATTAGTCACCATCGGTCGATTCTTCTCGAGCTGCCCTCGAAATGGTCCCTCTTATATCCAGATCTCGTCTTTGAAGTTCAAGAACTCAAGGGTCTTCTTTGATCATTAAATATTTCATTTCCTTATGATCAATTAGTTCCGCAAGATAGATATTTAGTGATTTTGCGAGTTAAAGTGCACGATCTAGGAGTGTGGCATAGTTCGTGCTGGAAGATGTTAATAGTTTCTGAAGAGATTTGGCTTCTTTTTTTTTCTTTTTTTTTTTCATTTGTTGTTAGCCAATGTTCAACTGAACTTAGGGCAGCTACTGTGATTCAACGAACGCTATGCCGTGGAAATGCACGCGTATGGTGTGATTTATTGTGATTGTTAAGCCAAATATGTTTCTTGCAGGTCAGCCTGAGTGCGTTTGCATTCTTGTTCTCAGAGTTAGTTCAGTACAACCAGACTCAAGTTGATAATATTGCAGAGCTAGAGAGAAGGTAAATGCTACTTGAAGTTGCTGCTGATAACAAATTGGTTATATAAGTTTTAAGGCATGATACTTCTGATCTTCATGTGTTGTGGTCAACTCAATTGTTGTTTGAAGTGTCTCTAAAAATAAAGGCTAAATTTTTTTTATGAATTGTAGGTGCAATATCCTGATTTATACCCACATAAGAAGTGGGAGATAACTTAGACATTTTGGGCCAATGGTTTAGTCTCAATAGTTTAACGAGTTAGTGATTCTACACATCCTCTAGAAGTAATCATTCATGGAGAAGAAAATTAGCTTTTGTTTACCATCCACGTGTGACTTTTGTTTACCATGATCTGCAAGTGCTACAAAACATAGCAGTAGAGGACTGAGTTCAAATTTTCCCCTAAAATTGACAGAATAAACTGATGCAGGAAAGTGGGCAAAATGTTGAACAAAAATATATTCAATGACTGATTCTGCAGAATACAAGTTTTGTGCAACAGGAATGTCATTTGAAGTTTTCAAGTTTCACCCGTAACTTGACTGGATTACCCCACACAAGAAGTTGTTACCTAAATATTTTCTTTTTCTTCTCTTCTATTCCTCTTTTGCTGTCATTCATTAACAACGTTTCCATAATCTCTTAGCCACATCTTGTTATGAATAGAAACAAAATCAAATCATATGCTAAAGTAAAATCTCAAGATATATGGAAGTGGTTCATATTTTTAACCACACTACCTTTTATTATGATCTCGTTGATAAATTAAAAACTAAGAATTCGTGTCCTTAACAATATGAAAACAATGGTGAACGGACACAACAAAACTATATGGAATGGATGAATAATTGTTTTAAAATCTACAGAACACTCACCATTAGTATATTCTTTATACCTTTCTATATGGACATTCTTTATTTTCGAGCTATTCTTGTTTGCTATTCTTTAGACATTTGTGGTTATTCCTTTTTGGTCAATTTCAGTTATCATGTGTGATCCTTAAAGAACTTCACTAAATGTTGCAGGCTTGAGGATGCTGGCTATGCTGTTGGTGCAAGAGTTCTTGAGCTTCTTTGCCATAGAGAGAAGGTATGAGTTGTGCCCTTGTGCCTGTACAGATGCTCCGTTTCAGAGGAGTTATGTGTAATTTTGACGATTATGTTCAGATTGTTGCATATAAACTTCTTTTCTGCTCAAACTGTTTGGGACATAAAAGCATAACTTCATGCTGATTAGTGACAAACTTTGCTGATTGTCATGATTAATATGACTTCAGAAAAGCATATTTTTCACAGATAAAAGCTTGTCTGCAAATGGTTTTTTGTGAGTGTTTTTCTTTTTTCTTTCTTCTGAATTTGTGAACTCTTCCCTCTGTTTAATTTGTAATAACCATATAGATATGAGAAAGGACCATCAGTGTTTGATTTATCTTGTTATTCCTATTATTATGAAATTGTTTGAAACTTCCAACATTTTCTTGTCGGTGCCTCTGATGATTAGATTTAGTTTTAAATTTTAGTTCTCATATGATCATAACAATGACATAAAAAACGATGTGTTTCCTTTAACTAGAAGAGTTGCTTAAGATCTCTTAGAAGCATTTAAAACAGCCCTGGAAATGAAAATGAAACTGAACTGTTATATTGATAATGTGCTTGTTTCTTTTTGCTTGTAAGTTGTAAGACCCCCAAAAGTAAAATTGTCTTCAGCTGAACTGTTTTGAAATCTCATGTATTACATCTACAGATTGACTTTAGATTTGCTGGTGTTATGAAATATTTTGTGTTCCATTAGCAACACCATGATTTCTTTTAGGGCATGCAAGAATTTAAGGTGTGATTTCTATTAAAAAAATATTGACTATAAGCAACCATTTTGTAGCAGTTCTGCAGTTGTAGATTTAGATGTTTGGTGTTCTCTCACAGTTGTAAGTTCCCCAACCGAGTTTTTGCACCAACTTGAATTTGTAGTTCTTTCTCCAGTTTTTGTTGTTAACAACAGTGAAGGCTTTTTTGTTGGTCTCCCTTTTATCTTGACATTATCCTTAGGCTATTAAAATGCCCATCAAGAACCAAACCTGTTCCCACGTTAAGCTACACTGTAGATTCAATAGTGCTAGTTATGCTGATTGGCTCTTACCTGTTCCCCCTTTACCCGTCATGACCAGCAATTAACAACTTTCAACTTTTCTCTACACATCACGTAGACCATTATCAGCTTCAGAAACTAACCAGAAAGCACTTCGACCGTACAATTTCGATTTATCAAATTTAGGTTATCAATGTTTGCCTCTATGAGTACAATCATTATAACCTTATTTGTCTTATTGACCTGCCTTTGTTTAGCATCTGAGTGGACCATGAAAGTAAAGTAGATAAACGAGATTCATCAAGCAACCATCAGTATTGTAATTGTCTAATGATAAAAATACAAATGAGAGAACCTCAAGTTTGCTAATTCCAACATTGTTCAATTGCTATAGAAACTCAGTAATGAGGTTCCCAACAAACTACTAGTGACCCTAGGTCTGTGATCTTACTATCATAGTATCAATACCTTTTGATGATCAAGATAGTAATATATGTATATTTTTAAAAGTAGGCTTGATTTGGGGTTTCTATTTGGTCTTCATCAAGCCGTAAGATCTTTCTTCAGTTTTAGCAATGAAAACCTCTGTCCTACATGATGCAAGTTTGAACAACTATTCCTTGTTTGTACATTGCAAGTGTCACCTAATCAGAAGTGGATGGGAAATAGACATATTAGTTTAGGCTTAATCAGATTAATCTAACTGTTCAATTCAGATATTGAAGGCTAATTTTCATTTATTATAAGTTGACATTATATTGGCAGAAATTGGCCCTGAAATGGACAGAATATGCATGAAAATGGCCGAAATTTTATATGAACTGCTAAACTTGATAAAAATTGAGGAAACCAGAAAAGTTATGTTAGAATCTGAAGAGCAACAACAGTAGCCCACAGATGCTCCTTGACCATTTAAAATCAGTTGGAATCAACTAGAAGCAGCTAGAAATAGTTGGAACCTGCAGGATCAGGTGGACTGGCCCTTTAAGTTGAATTTGATCGACGTGGATGGGTTCTTCTGTCAATAATAGAAACCATGTATGGGCCAATAAAAGAACAACTGAAGAATTCATTCACATCAGTACATGTGAATATGATAAGCTGCTATATTTTAAGTTTGTTTAAATTTTATTGAACCTTTGTGTTTTAGTTCCAGTCCACCACCTCATTCATTGAGTTATTACCTAATAAAACTTTCTGATTTGGCCAATTCCCCAATATTCGGCTTTTTTTTATTTAGATCTGGCACATCCAGTGAACCATGATATCTTGGATTTCATGCTAATTTTGTCATCAGTTATTACAAATCTTGAAGTTTAAGCATTCTGATGTTTCATGAGACTTTTTCCATTCCAATGTCTTCTATACATCTACTTTTTTTGTAACTCACCAAATTCTTCATTGTCTGATATAATACTATAGCATCGCTTGAAGTTATTCTTCACCCTTATCTTTTTAACCTACATAAAAGATAGTTTATGATTTTTTCATAATCCTAATATTTCATTCTCAGTGGGCTCCGTGTAAACGAAATTGTGATGTTTTGAATACTTCCATCATATTGAACCTTCTATGAATTGGAAAAGCAAGAAACTTCTCCTTTAGTTTCAGGCAGAGCTTTGTATTATTTTGCAGCAGGCAATATACAACATATTATGTTAAAGACCCTTCACCTGCAATATAATTTGTGTGATTGTGCAATTAAATATTTTATATATGCAACCATTATCTCGGCCATATGTTTACCTTAGTAGTCAAATAACCTAGATGAACCTAGGCAATGATCTAACGTTCAAGTGATCGTGTAGGCAGTAAATGCAGTGAAGGAAATAAATAATCAAGGAGCAGTCACTTCATCATCGTCTTGATTACTCAATACATGCTGTCATGAGCGTGTTCTAGGATTTTGGAAAATTAGCATTTTCACCATATATTGTAGCTTGCAGAAGCTATTAATTAACGAATAAGATAATGTAAATATGAATCATGGTATTTACCTGGGACGTGCCTATTGCCTAGATATTAGCCTAGGCAATGAAGCAGTTGTCCATGACAATAATTTGGTATACACTACTAGCAAAGTCTTTAATAACTGAAGGTACACTTAGCAAATTTTCTGCAAAAAGGTTTTCTGCAAATTTTCTGAAAATAATCTGATCTTGGACTATTATTTTCTCTCATCTTTTGATTTTCATTTTGATATATTAAATATAACTTTAGCAATTCGGTAATGTATGACTGATTGGGACATACTGACTTTTTGTTTCTGTTGTACGACTACTTGGTACAAGTAATCTTATTGACTATGTATTAACCTTGAATATAGGGTAACAGAAGGGAGACACGATTACTTGGGATTTTATCTTTTGTGCATAGCACAGTTTGGAAGGTGCTTTTCGGAAAGGTAGCTATATCAACCTTTTTTATTTGTTTAATGACTGTTGTTCTCTGAAGAGATTTTTTGATATAGTTATGCAAAGAAATTTTTTGAAATTTGAGTTATGGTGATTAGAGCTTTAGAAGCACACTTCACCGCTGTTGCATGGATGAGGACATGGGGGATCTCATACAAATGCACAGTGATTCTACAAGGAGACAGAAGGGACATATGGAAACACTTTGATGGAGAATAATTTAAATAGACAGCAATATGCTGACCTAAAGTTGTATGTGAAACAATGGAAGTTCTATTCATAAAAGCTTAGAATAAAAAATTATAGAAATAGTATTTTTATAAAGCTGATAGGGTGTCTGACATGCTGACTCGTAAACACACTCATGTATATATCTTTGAGGGCTTATGGATGAGGATATGAGAAACCATTAAAAATACTTAAAAGTAGAATGAACTCTAACCAGCCAACATGGTGCTTGCAATAGCCACAGGTTAAATCACAGAGTTAGTGGTGGTTAATAAGTATAAAGAAGCGTTATGCAAAATCTAGAATACATTAAAAACGGTGGACAAATTTAAATATTCTTAAATGTCTGTTTATTGAAAGATAATCTAGGTTTAAGATATACCTTTTTTTTTTGTAATTCCATCATGAAAAATTTTACATAATTATACTTAAGATGCCATTTTTCTATTGATTATGTATAGAATGCTTTATGATATCATTGTTAACTCTTGGATTAATTGCTTAACATATGACAGTTGTCTAATTAATATTAGTGCACCATTCGATCTTAACCATATGCCTAGAGTACTGACATAGGTGGGTAGGCTTAATTTTTTTAAGTTTTCCAAATCATCCTAAAATCCTTCCCAAAACTTACCTTTTACCTAAGTTTTTTAAATTTTTTTGTGTTGCATCGCTGCTTCAAATTTCACCATGAAACTGGTATCGATAGAGGTAGGTATCTGTAGATAAATGATGCCCAAATATATAAAGGCACATATGTGGACAACCTTATGACCTAAATAATAATTCCTTTTAAAAATAAATAAAAAAACATATAGTGAGAAAAATAAGCATGAGGATAGAACAAAGAAAGAGAAAAAAAGGAAAATATTGATATGTAACTGGAGTTTCTATTTGACAAGATGGATGACATAATCATAAAATGATGAGGGATTACCCCAGGGTATTCCTTGGTTTTATCAAAAAGCTGCATCCTCCTATTACATGTTTTTAAATTGTTAAATTGACTCATCATAAAATGATGAGGTGATTATGAAGGTTTCAGAATAACATATTAAATCTTTTTGTTTGGGCTTTGAAGGAGAAATTTCACTGTTTTATTTACATAATAATTCCTATATCATGCAACTAGGTGGCTGATTCGCTTGAGAAAGGAACTGAACACGAAGATGAGTACATGATAAGCGAAAAGGAGCTTCTGGTCAACCGGTAATGTATCACTATTGTGGCTCTTTTGCTGCCTGCCATCAGTTCAGAAAACTAAACCGAATTTTGTACTGGTTTATAAGATTTATATCCATACCAAAGGACATGGGAGCATTCAATTGTGGGGCATTTGTTGCAGGAATTGTCAAGGTATGATACCCTGCTGAATAGTATTTTATTTTAGTTTACTAAATTGTAAGCAGTGACTAATTATCTGTTATTCTTTTTTTGGTTGTTATGAAGGGTGTCTTAGATAATGCAGGTTTTCCTGCTGTCGTGACAGCGCACTTTGTCCCTATGGAGGGCCAACAGCGACCACGAACTACAATTTTGATAAAGTTTGCAGAAGAGGTCAGTTACACATTCTTTTGCTATGAACTTCCTTTCATCAGAATGTGATGCCTAAAGTCTTCATTTCCGTATAGCACTGAAGGCTCATTTAGATGTTCTGAATGCATAATCAGAGCAATGAAAAAAATGAAAAATCTAAAGCTACCAACAAAAGCCCTTGTAAATAATGGAAATGAGAAAAAAGAAAGCCCAATACTACATATCATTTGCAAGCAAGTAATTTATATACCAAAATATTAACAAATAACACAGTTCCTAGAAATCAACAAGATGTATCATAATTATGGCAGTACGAAATTAAGAAAGTCAATGGCTATAAGTCATGTGACTTCAGAGGGGGCCCTTTAGCCCATTAGACTGTGGAGAATGTGTGAATCTATTTGAAAGTTGAACCGAGATGTCTAGCCCGTGCTACATGTTAAAGTTTCAGCTAGAAGGATATCAGCCATACTTCTCCGTGTTCTTTCAGGTACTCCGTAGAGAAGCAAGACTAGGCTGATGTCGTATGCTAGCTGATGTTATCTATCTAGTGGGGAATCCTGACGCACTTTTTGAATACTTCGACAGCAGCACTAAATGTATGACGATATTCTCGATGACTTTCCAAAAGTTGATGTCTTTCTTTGTGTGTAAGCTGACGTTGATCGTATGATGCAATTATGAAACTCCAATTTCATCTGAATTCTTGTAAAGATTCATGTCTTCACCTATTCTTCATGATTCTAATGACTTACATCGATCAGTGGCATCTCAGGAAGTGTGTCAGTAGGCTCTTTGTTTGCCCATATGTATTCATTCATGGAAGGAGTCTTCTGACTTCTTATTTGGTGACGAAAGAAAAAGTATATGTATCAGCATCTTAGCAAATATGACCATGCAACATTCCTATACATGTAGGTCGTTATGTTAACAACATAATGTTTTTCTTACAATGATCAAGCAAGCTAATACCTACTAAAATTTTAGATCATTTTTTTGATTTGTGCATGTCATATTTGTGTACGGTGGTTATGCTAATCTTATATATATATCGTTTCAAGTTTATAGGATGTCTCGAAAGAGACTCATGATTTTAATGTTACAACAAGCATAGTCTAAATGGTGCATTGGGTGGATCAATTATTTTGTTGATATCTTAGATCGAAGGGCATGATTAGGCACTGCCATGGTTGCCATGCATGGGGCGTGCTTGCCTTCGTACGTCGCCCGTTGATGGTGTGGCTGATCAAAGATACGTATGAGATAGATCCATCTGCTGACGATGAACAGCTTGTATCTAAATCTTATTCTTTTATTTGACCGATCTCTCCTTCGTGGCTAATAAGGAAAAAGAAATCTTGTATCAGAATTCATCAACATCAAAGAAATTTTGTATCATAACTCATCGAGCCATGACACGTCCACATGATAAATAACGCGGAATAAATAGGTATACAGCAATATATTATTGACCATAGATACCGATAAATAGACGACGGCGATCAAAATCTTTTATAATCATTAAAAAAATTAATATATTCGATCTGAACTGATTAGACGATGGAGAATATGACTTGTCAGTGGAAGAATATTTAGCATGAAATAAAAAACACTCAGTGTTTCTTATATCTCACTTTCTTCGTTCTTACGAAGAAAGTGAGTGACCTTATGTGAGTGACCTTGCGCATCTAGGATCGGACCAAGTCATGTTGACATCTCGACCACGACGTAAAGATTCACTAACACAACTAAATATCTTCAGCACCCCTACAAGTCGCACTGAAACCCTAACACCAAAATGCATCCACAAACATCACCCCAAAATCAACTGTTCATGCCGGTCCTCAGAAGACTCTCAAATAAACCAAAAGAAATATCGATGAGAAAATCATAGAAAGATCCGATCCAACTTCTGGTCTTCTTCGTTGTCATGTAGCTTAGCAGTAACATCTACAGAATCTCCCACAAGACTGTCGACCTTTCTTCTTTTGTTCCAGAAGCCGTGCTATAAACTTCCAAGAGGAAACAAAGAACTTATTATTCTTCTCACAGACAATTCCCATATTATTTTCAGAACATTATCTTCAGAATAAGCTTTCAAAATGCTTAAGACAGTTTCATCCTGGAATTAAAAGAAGAGTCCTTCTTTTAAATCTCAAAACAATACTGATGTGTGAATGTGTTCTATGATTTCTTTCGCCTTGCACGCATGGGTGGTGGCTTCAGCTGTGGTTGCTTGATTTGAATAAGCATGACCAAAGGCAGCAAAGAGATTGGGGGCATTGCACAAGTTGCGCAATGACTCTTCTAACTTCAGATGAGGAACTGCATACGTTATCATTTGAAGACCCAAATCAACATCATGCAGGCCACCTAACGTCCAGCAATGTCTTATCTACCTGCAAGTCCAGCACTTTCTTTGGTCTTCGTTCTACCTCTCAGAATCATTGAAATCATTTTGGATGTGGATGTGGTACATTGGAATGATCATGAATTGGCGGCGATGACTACACGTTTACATGAAGGTTCATCGAAATCTCGAGAAGTCAATTTCGTACTAGCTCATAGTTTGCCTCAGCTGGAACTCCTAAAGGAGCCTGATGGATGATTCCCCTCTCCCCTATATAAATGCTCATCTTGTTCTTCCCTGATAACAAGAAAAAAAAAAAGTAAATCTATCACTGCAAGAAAAAGCCTTGCAGCGATTGGAACGACTTCCAGGTTCGCGGAGTCGATCCAGATCTTTGTTCATCAACAGCTTTCAGTGTTCATGGAGAAATCGAAATCAAAGATCAACCAGATACAGGCCCCTACTTTCGGGAACCTGATCACCATTCTAAGCATAGATGGAGGAGGCATAAGAGGAATCATCCCTGCCACCATCCTCAGCTTCTTGGAGTCCGAGCTTCAGGTATGAAACGCATCAAACATCGGTCGACATATCGATTCCAAATTCAATTACTGTAATCTTGATTACCATGAACAACTCGCTCAATAACCGATGCAGAAACTTGATGGCGAGGATGCAAGGATTGCAGACTACTTTGACGTGATTTCCGGAACAAGCACTGGAGGTCTCGTTACGGCAATGTTAACTGCACCTGATGACAACAATCGACCGCTCTTCGCAGCCAAAGACATAAAATCGTTTTACTTGGAACACAGCTCGAAAATTTTTCCCCAGATTGGGTACTTGAATTATCTCAAACAAATGAATTCGATTGTGTGTGTGGTTCTGATCACAAATCTCACTATTTTATGTTTCGTTTTCAGAGGATTACTGGCTGGAGTCAGAAGGATGTTTCAAGCTGTATGGGGACCAAAGTACAATGGGAAGTATTTGCACTCTCTTATCAAGGAAAAACTAGGAGGTGTGAGGTTGCATCAAACCCTAACCAACGTGATAATTCCAACTTTTGATATCAAGCAGCTCCACCCAATCATCTTCTCTAGCTACGAGGTATGAACTCTAGATTCATATATATATATATATATATATATATATATATATATATATATATATATATATATATATATATATATATATATATATATA